ATGGATTCAAGACGTTCACAACTCATGCATTGAATAACATTACAAGTTAAAGTTCCACCTTAAAAGTTGCCGGCAGTCGACCCAGTGAATTAAGTTATGTTTTCTCAGACTCCAGCTGCTGTGAGAGGCAGCAAAACATCCTTTCATTTTATAGTTACAGTTTACTAATAAAACTCTCCACAGTATGAACAGTGGTTACATGAGCCTCAAAACCAGCCACAGCTCAGCCCTGAGCAGAGTGACCATCCTCTATTGACCAATCAACATACTGCAGTGTTCACAGCTCCACCTTTTAGCACCAGATCTGTGTGCTAGGTACCCCAACAGAGGGGGGACCAAAAATGGCGACGATATGGAACGGTTCTATTGGTACCATCCACAACTTTTCACAGTGGAAACGGAAAAAATTGTACCAAACTGTACTGTACCGTACGGCTCGGTGGAAACCAGGCTTAACTGTAGTAGTTTTAAAAGTAAAAATTTTTTCTCAAGATTCACAAGCGGCCCCCAAACTCTTTAAGATTTAAAGCCTGTCTGTGTGAAAGAATGGGCCAAAGTCTGAACACTGTGAGAGATTAAGTTTCTTCATACAGCAAGCATCTTTTATCGCAAACAAAGGCCTCTCCCATAGTTGAATACATTTCAGTTAGCATGTTATGCTAACATTTGAAAACATTTTTGACGTGTTGAATACTTACTTGCCTCCACTGTATGTAAAAAAGGATTTGCAAATCATTGCACTCTGTTTTTATTTACATTTAACACAGCGTCCAGTCTTTTTTGGGATCAGGCCTGCATGTAACAGCTGTTTTTATTTGCCGTCAGTAGTTCAAGGTCCACACAGTTTAATATATTCAACATTATACTTCTAGTAGCTAGTTTGCTGCCTCTGTCATGTAGCTGTCCGTCGCTCACTCTACAGCAGGTAACACCACTTCAAAATAAAAGCTCTGTGGCAGAACTTCACTGCACTTCAAAATAAAGTGGGTTTTTTTTGTTGTTTTTTTTGTTTTTTTTTACAAATTTGACACATTGTGAGTCACTGGGGGTCCATTTAGAATAGACCCTCGACCCACTTTTGGACTGCAAACCACCAGTTGGGAACCACTGTGCCAAGCTTGTTATGTTTGAGGGATGTTTTTGTTTCATAAACATTTAGAATAAACAGTTTACATACAACTTTATACAGTGTGGAAGTGTTTAAAGAAATGGATACTTAAGCAGACCAGTCATGTTCTGAAGTAATCAATGAAAAGTCTCCATGGACAGAGGAGTACGGTTTACACTGCACTGTAACTTAAATGTACTGTAGAGGTAATACTGAAGCTGTAATTACACCCAGATTAAATAAAGCTGCTGGAAATTTGGGCCCAGAATAAACACAAAAACAGATCAATAGAAGCAACCAGAAGCTTTAAAATAAAATATTCTGGTTCAGCAGGAGTCCGATTTTCCTCTTGTTCTCTCTCGTAGGCTCCAACTCATCCAGTTTACAACATCTGTCCAGAGAAGGTGGCTCAGGCCCTGCAGTTCTTTCACCGGCTGCCCGTCCCTGATGACAACAGACAGCCAGGAGCCTCTGCTGACGACACACCGTCGGACTCCGCCACTGCCTCCGGACCAGACGACCATCAGTCCTAGTTAGTCATTGGTGGAGACGTCACTGTGTGTGTGTGAACCAGCCGACTCTGGGGAACGGGCTCGAACCAGCAAACAGCAGTCAACAGTCTGATGTAGACGAGCCCTAAATAAAAAACGGTCAGAGGGTCGACCGTCGGTAGAAATGAGGGCTGGAGTTTAGGAGGAGTTTGCCTGAATAAAGGTCAACAGTTGTGTGTGGGCAGCTTAGCATTCAACTGAATTTGTGCTTGCAATGCCTCATGTTTTCATTCTCTGAAATAAAAGGGAGACTTGGTAAGGTTTCAGTATGAATAAAACTTTATATAGCAATTTTCATAATGGTGTTATAAAATGATTTGCAATTTCACACACACTCCAGACACATTATTACTTTAAAAACACTAAGATACAACAGATAAAACACATTACACACACCTCAACATCTAAACAACATCTTTATTATCTTTGCAAAAACCAAGACTGAAGCAGGGCTGAAACTCCGACTGAGCACCTTCAGGTTTGGTCCTCAGTATTTTCTCTGGTATTTTATCCACCTTTGGGAGAGTTTACAGTCTAAAGTGACACATGGTGCATATTTTTTGACTCAGTATATTTAAATTGTTATTTTTAGGACAACAAACTGGAAGAATAAAGGATTTGCTGTATCTCCACTAGAATTTTATATTCTGTCATTTCCTTCAAAAACATCTGCAAAGAACTACAAATAACACACACACACACACACACACACACACACACACAATCCATTGGATTTATTACAAATTAAACAAGCAAACAAGACAACAAAAATCCCAGTCTGAGAGGCAGCAGGACGAGCAGTCCCCACACCAGAGTCTCTGCTCTGCTGCTGCACAGGAGCTCTTAAGCCCCTCCTCCACTCCATGCTCAGGTGTGCTGCACCTCGTTAACTAACGCAGCACACCTGGGCAGATCTGCAGTGGAGGGAAAAGGGACAGCAGCACATAAGACACACAGCTCCATTCAAATCAAACTTGCAGAACAATCAGCTTACTCAGTAAATAAAATATGATCCAAATAATTAAACATGTTAGACCTCCTGTTTGGGGTCAGCATGGGGCTGTTAGACTTTGACTCATCCAGGCGACGTCTCTTCCTCAAAGCAGCAAATACAAACACTGCATGTCTGAAATAAGAAAAGGCAGATTCACCATGTTGCATTGTGGGTAGGCAGGTTGGCTACTGGTTGTTGGTTACACATGACACAACCATCAGCTGGCCCAGTCTGCAGTCTGTTTTCCTCCACATAGTTAAAGACTCCACACTACAGTGTAAGGGGAGAATGGTTACATAACAGGACATGAAAGGACAGTGTGCCCTCAGTCTTTATTGCAGACACCTGCCAGCATCTCTGGAAACCAGAAAAACCTGAAGTGATGTTTGCCTGCTGTTCGTCTGGTCCTGAGAGCTCTGCTGCAGCAGTTGTGGCAGTGAGAGGGGGGAAGGTGACTGATTATTAGTGGTAGTACAGAGCCGGTTTAAAACAGGCCAGGCATTGCTGCTACTAGCTTTCTCATAAAACCACTCATAAAATGATATATAAATACTAAATGTATAGCATGTCCAAATTGTGCCAAAGTTGACGCTACACGTCCCTGGGTCCCCAGTAATACATCTTTGATTGCAATTATTTTATCCTGGAGAATTGAGACATGAAATTGCATCCCATACTTGTCATAGGTGTGGACTCAAGTCACAAATTTGATGACTTCAGAACTCAACATAAACTCCTACACCAATGACTTGTGACTTCGCTTGGACTTGAACCTTTTGACTTTAAAATACTTGATACCTTCATCCAACCCCAAATATTTAAAAATATATTATTTAAAAAGGTTGCCACACATCAAATTCCCTTCATTTTTTGAATCAAGTAACAATGCTTTCCACTCCCAGCAAGTCGACACTTAATTCCCCAGGGGTCTCATTTAAAAACACTGCGTAAGCACAAGTGTGGCCCAAGGGAGGCGTACGCCACTTCCCACGCAAAAGTTGTGATGCATAAAAACAGACTTGATGAAACTTTGTCCCATGCTTACAAACATTTTGTAGATGGGAAATTGGCGACTCAGATGGTGAGATGGAAGCCTGATTGTAATAAGTGTTGAATATTTTTTGGCACACACCATTTTTGGGTTTGAGTATGGATCCTAAGCATTCTTTTAAAATAGGACCCCAGATATTCTTAGTATGAACCAATTTGATGGCATCCAATCAAGCTGAAGCAAAGAAATATGAAAAAATTATGTTACCAAGGACCAGTTGGAAAAAAATATACACAAGATAATTTAATTTGTGTACAAAGACATTGCAGCAGGTGACAAAAAACAAATTGCAGCAGCCTGTGCAAAGCATGTAGGTGGAACATCACAGAGACGCAACAACTTATAACTTCATACGACATTTGAACAGTAAGTCAAGACTAATATTAACATAGTGAGTGAGCTAATTCTTAGCTAATGTTAGCTTCACAGCCAAATAAATTTTTAACAAAGTTATTTTAACAGATACTTATTTTAAAAAGCATTCATGAGTTTTTTAAATTTAATATATTATTACTCTGTTGGTAAAATGGCATTAGATTTGATGAAGAGTGCATTATGACTTATAGAGATCAAAACTCAAAAGTTAGAGTGTTTTCACACTTGGTCCTTTTTTAACAAACCAAACTCAATCCTCTTAAAGTGCACCGAAAAGTGGACGCATTGTCAGTTTATTTGAAAGAGGACTCAGTCCTCTTTCTGTTCACACTATACTGACATAGTTTTGTGTTTACTTTGATGCTGCACTGCAGTGCAGTTATGAAGCCCCTCGCTTTCAGATGAACTTAAAATCAGAGGAAAACCTTAGCGTTTCTGTGCCGTAAACTGTTGTCGTTAAATGTATTCTACATTCCACATCTGGAGACATGCATTATCTTCTATGGACCAAACTATTCCTCGTCTTGCGTCCTTGCAAGCATTTACAGGTTGACGTGGTTTTGTCTGTTTTTTCCAAGCATCCCAGTGCAACAGCATGTGATCTAGAGGGCTAAATACATGGCAAAGAGCACAGCCAATCAGGAGCGCTTTGTGTTCACAAGGCACAGGTTAAGCAAACTGCACTGCGGACTTTAAGTGAATCGAGGTGGTCTGAGTTCTCTTGGAGTGATCACATATGGACAAAAGTGCTGAGTCACCTCTTTGCGTCGGCTTAGAGGGCTGTAAAGGACCAAGTGTGAGAACACCCTTGAATGCAAAGGCTTGAGACTTGCATGCAAACCACTGACTTGGTCCCCTATAGACAACAGGAAATGTTATTTAACACTTTGGTCTGTAAGCTAAAAAACCACACGGAGCGTATTAAAGGATAAAATAGTTTATTTTATAGTCTCATAGTAAAGGTAGGCCTCAACTTGCAAGACAATTGTTGGCAGTATGTACAACATACTTGTAATTTCCATGGAATGGAATCGGACAAACAAAGACCTATTACACTAATTATATCCTCCTAAATGGAAATAAAATGGAAACAATATACATACACACACGTTTCCTAGACACGCAAAAATGCTTCCTTTTTTTCCTTGGGGGGGGGGGATTCAGCAACATTGATTTTTACTGTGTAAAGCACGACACATCGACAGGGGTTAATTTGCTTCCTTGTACTGCAAAAGACGGGAGCTACCTTTTTGACATTCAATACCTATTTCATACCCTTAAGGAAAACTACATGTGACAAATTGGCATTTTCCCATGACTCGTGAGATTACTACAAAATGCATAACATACTTTAGAACTTCAAAACATCCAATCAATGCTCTTTTTTTTAATGATATATAAAACGAGATGCCTAACGTATTCAGCCACCTAAAGTCATTCACTACTTCAAGCTAAAGGACAAATTACGATACAGGTTTAGGAATATTCTCCTTCAAAACATCAATTTCAACAAAGGAGTCATGTTTTCTCTTTTTTTCTGTTCTTTAAATCTTGTGTTAACAAACGTGTCAGACAGAAAACATCTGCAATCCAGTGGGCCTGAGGTGGGTATCATCACTTTAAGATTTGCTTCAAAGCATCTTCACATTCTTTAGTGGAAAAAAGTAAGCTACAAATGTTTGATTTTTTTTTTTTTTTATTTTAAAAAGGTAAACTTCTCTGGGACAATTTATCTAGGTGTGTGTGTGTGTAAATTCTAAACAGGTTTTTATCAAGAATAACAAAATAAACAAAAACAAAAATATATAATATAGCAGTGCTTGGAGTACGCCAGGCGCACCCTTCCCCCCCAAAAAACAACCCGGGGAGGAGGAGGGGCTTTATTGAGGGTACAAAAAAAGCATCAAGTCCTTAAGTAGCCAAGCTGCCTCTTTTTGGGTTTTGGATTGTAGATGTTGCCGGAGGGGGGGAAATACCAATGATGGAAAGAAAAGAGAGAAGGAGAGGGATGGGGAGAGGAGGGGAGAAAAACCTGAAGCTCTCTACATGGACTGAAGCAGTCATCTTCCACCCTGCTGACTTCCTCCCTCCTGTTCGTGGAGATCGGGTGGAGAGAGAGACAATTGTTGCGGCGGTGTGAGGAGGTTAGAGGGGTCATGAGTCTCCAGTGCGAGCCCACCCACAGATGGAGGAGAGAGAGCGAGGAGGACGGTGAGGGAGGCCGGGGGGTGGTGGTTGTTGGCATGAGAGAGGGGGGAGGGGAGGGGTCGATGAGCCTCGATGGCTGCGCTTCCTCTTGCCCTCCTTTGTGCCCCCGCCGCCTCAACCTTGGCTAGGTTTTAACCGACTCCACTCTCTAGCTGGCCTCCACGCGCAGCTTCTTCCTGTTGGGAGGCTCCGACTCGGCCTCGGACTCGGAGCTGGAGTCAGAGCCCCCGTCGAACGCCGACACGGCGCTGCCTTTGGGGTTGGTGTACAGGCTGCTGTCAGACGAGGAGTAGCTGGCCTGGAGCTGCGCGGAGCCCTTCACCTTCTCCAGAGCACGGACTGCACGAACACACACAGGAAGAAACAGGGAGGAGGAGGAGGGTGAGGAAGGTCAACGGCAGGATTTCAAAACATGACTCAACATGCTGTCCTTAAATGGACCCAGTCTAACCAGCACATCTGTGATGCTGACCAGTGGCAAACAGTCTCCACAGATGATCTCAGAATACAAAATGGATATTGTTGTGTTGCACCACCAGTTTTTAAATAACCCTGCTCTGCTGAGTGGGAAGCCCTCAACAGAGATTTCCTCTGCATATCCAGTCATGCCCCATCTTCCAGCTCGCCTCTGTTCCACTGCCATCTGATACTCATTGTATTTACTTTCAAAAACCTGCCACACATTCATCAGATTTTCAATTAATACTCCAAGTAAAGGCCTCCTGCCTCTGTGCGTGCTGTTATAAAGGCTCCTCTGTCCAGCTGCATGTGCATGCGAGTGCCCCCCTTCATGTGTCAGACTATATATAAAGATGTACATTGCTTCTCCACTGTGGGAGGAAGTGGAGACGTGTTGTCCATCTTTATATACAGCCTATGACTGACACATGTACAAAAATGAAGGTTAAATATCATGGATATTGCTGCTACCATCTGGCACTGGTGACATCATTTGGAGCCAGAGTCTGCGCGGTAGCAGTCTACATGGTATTAAGTCCACCCAGACACCAGTCCAACATGTCGTGCAGCACCACTGATTTCGAGCACACTGATTTGGCACATACAGCTGTCAATCTTGATGTCAACCCCCTTTTTATAGCATCAAATAACGTATTAAAAACAAACTTAGAAAGATTAACACTTGAACATAAAGCAGCGTGATGAGAATGACCTAAAATGGCGGAAAATCCATCTTTGGGAGAAATTTATTTGCCATGTACTTTGAGTTTTTAGTTTGGCCCATGTCCCATCCGCTAATGTGCAGGAGTTGGGGATTATGACCTGTACTGCAGCCAGCCACCAGGGGGCGATCGAGGAAGAGCTGTCATGTTCACCTTCATGTACTGTCTGTGGTTCCACTGGTGAGCTTATCATCGCTCTGCACTGCGCTCGTAGCAAATATTCCTGATAATGCTAGCCTAACCCAGCAGCACAGAGGATGGGCATCACAGAAACATAAACGCCCATCCTCCCATCCCAGGTGTTTCTGTTGTGAGCACTGTTAGCCACCTCCATGTTTGCTTGTGACATGGGAGATGAGAGCCATGTGCAGGCAATCCCAGCCAAGTCTCTTAGAGATATCGAACCTTTTCACAAGATGCAGTGATGTTCACGGCTACGACGACCACTGAGGTCACGTTCTGTTTATTCCTCAGGGAATTTGGTAGTTTTAGTGCTATTAACAACAGATCTTACTCCATAATGGAAGATTAAACATGGTGGGCTTTTAGGATTATAAATATTTGGACTTAATATATTTTATTTCTGAAATAAATATTTTCCAAAAATATTTTACAAAAATTTAAAACAGCATTAAGGGTCCAGTGTGTAGGATTAAGGGAGATATATTTGTTATATATTTGTATATTGTTATTATTATTTATAGTTTGTTTTTTTTTACCGTTTAATCACCTAAAAACAGGAATGATCATGTTTTCCTGACCTTAGAAGGAGCTGCTTATGTCTAAATAGGGAGCAGGTCCTCATCCACAGAGTCCGCCATGTTTCATTAGCAGCTCAGATCGACTCAGATCGGGCTATTCGCGTTGGCCATCGCAGCTAGCAGCCCTGCTGCAATAGCCAAACAGCGTCGCAAGAACGCTAAGCTTAACGAGAAAGTGCTTTACTTAGTGTTCTACCGGTTTTAATCGCTGAGTCATTTTGTTTTGGAGAGGAACAGACCTCTGCAGATAAATCTACTCCCGGTAAAAATCTCCTGAACGTCTGGATCTTAAGTTTCAGAGGAAAAGGTGAGCACAGATTGGGCTAGTGACCTGTCAACGATGAGCCACAGAGCATAGGAGAAACCCTGATTTGTAATGTAACACTGCTTTCTGCAGTGTTTTTACTGGTTTTAATCACCTGGTCCATTTGTTTTGGAGAGGAAGAGACCTCTGCGGATAATTCAACTCTTGCTTAAAACCTCCTCAACAATGAACACTAAAGGCTGGTTCCAATCTGCAGTCCTCACCACAAGATGGCACTAAATCCTACACACTGCTCATTTAGGGGAAACCTGGGGATGTGTTTCTGGGGCTGATATTAATGAATAAAACATTATTTAACTGTTTTAAAAAGTGAAGATCTAAATTAAATAAGAAATCAGGGCAGGCTGGGAGGGCTCTGATTGAGTATTTTGAGAATCCTGGCTCAAGTCCTGCAGGCATCTCAGCCGCTGGCACGCTGTCAACATTTGAAAGAAAACACACTGAGTTATAAAAGCTAAATTAGGCTCGGAGAGGGGCTAAACATTGGCTTTCTACTTATCTGATGAGTTGTGGTGGCACAAACACTTTGATGTTGAGACTGGGACTTCATGTTCTCAAAACTATTCACCCACATGCTCTCTTATCACTACAATCACTGAAACTCCAACTAAAACAAACATGGCGGTGGAGCATTTGCATTTCCTCACACACACTCTCTCTGACTGTGGCAGGTCAAATTTAATTAGCTAATACTCACAACCACAGAAACCTCACCACTGCCCCAAACTGAAGTTCTGAAAACAAATGCAGTCATGTAGAGCGCCTGAGGAACACAGTGACAGGAGAGGTGGCGTTGTTACCTTGCTGCTCCAGCAGTGCGTTCTGCCTCTTCAGGTCGTCGATGTCCTGCTGGTGCGTGTGGTTTTTTCGCCTCATGTATTGGATGTACTCTGTGGCTTTGTCTAGGATTTGAGCTCGAGACGCCTGTTTGGTAGACTGCTGTTAGTGACACATGCAAAAATTGAAGCAATGACGCAAGTATACAGAGTTCTCATCACATTTTTCACACAGTCATAACTCCTATCATGATACTGCAGACTCAAACTACCACATGCCAAATCTAGGACACCGCTGTGTGTTTCTGCACAGCTTGCCTCCTCTTAACCTCTCAAAATTCCTGCGGCACTTCTGTCTGACATCCACAGGCTAGGTCACAACCCTGACACATTACTGTCAGCGTGTTCGCCGCGATTACAGCAAACAAAAGTGCCGCAGCAGCCCGTCAGCTGGCTGCAAATCAGCTCCTAAATCTTCACAGAAAACAGACATTTGCTTCATCTCTAATTAATGCTGCCTCGCTGTAGAGCTTCTCTTTTGTCCACGAGCTATCTGGCACCGCCAATTATTGACTTAATATCAGCATCACAGAGATTTGTACTCATTAGGGCTGGGTATCATTTTCTGTAGTAGTGTGGACACAAGATTCAAGTTTCTGTATCAATACCAAAACCCCAGTTTCATTCACTTTTTTATCACCTAAGAGCAAGTCGCCTTCCTGTTATGTTATACAGTTTATTTAAAATCTTTATTAAATAAAACCCTGTTTGGGGCGTCGGTGGCTTAGTGGTAGAGCAGGCGCCCCATGTACAAGGCTGTTGCCGCAGCGGCCCGGGTTCGAATCCAGCCCGTGGCCCTTTGCTGCATGTCATCCCCTCTCTCTCTCCCCCTTTCACGCTTACCTGTCCTGTCCAATAAAGGCAAAAATGCCCTAAAATATATCTTTAAAAAAATAATAAAATAAAACCCTGTTCATACCAAAGATTTGCAATGACAGGAGTTGAAACTTGTTCTGAAAATCTGCTAGTTTAATCCAACGCAACGAGATGAGATGGTGTATCGTCTCCATAGCTACAACTCTCTGTACTTGTGTTCAATTTCTAGCTTGTTGGGAGCAAGTAACGACTGAGGCCTTTGTGTTTCTGAGTGTGACATGCACACATAAACCCAACAGCAGCATAGATTTTAATTGTGGAGCACGTCAGCCATCGTATTGATTAAAAAAAGAAAGCAAAACAATGGTGGGGGCAGAGGGCAAGTAATATAACTGGTTTATTACCTAACCCTGTAGCCCTTTTTACACAGAGACTGCATTATAGGGCTGCAATGAAGTCCCTTCATCACACCTGCTTTGCTCTTTTATACAGAACTAAACAACAGCAATATCATGGCGCCCAAGTCTGTGATTTTAGACTGCATGTCAGCGTCCTGAAAGCTAAAGAGGTGACAGGCGTGACGTAACAACAGTGTCAGCCTCTAGTTTGACATATAACAGTTGCATCGACAGCGCTTTAATGGGATAATGTGGCAATACCAATCATTTGCCGTCTCTGTCATGTGGCAGCTGATCTCGCCCTCTGGTTGGAGGCTAAGGAGCTCCTGGACTTCTTTGTTTTCCCAATTTGCAAACATTTTCAGTTGCTGTTCATCTTCTTTGAGTTAGCTGCTAGCTATATTTTTAAAGCGGCTGTACACATGCTGGGTTTTTTGCACCCTCAAATTTATTGTTTTCAATGTAGATGCACGGCAGGCAAGCTCAAACGCCAAAGCGATGCCGTCTAGTTCAACTTTTGGAATGCAGCAGCGCACACTGCACGTCATGTGACGAGGAACAACCAATCGCAATCGACTTCAATCAATAAATATAGTCTGATAAATACGGAAAAGTTGATCATGTTAGTGCAGGGCTACTCAGAGCTTTTCTTCTGTCCTACGTACAATAGGCCTACACACTTATAAACAGTGCCTGGAAGAAGATCAGCTCTGCACTTAGGATTTTAGGTAAAAAGGCTATGATACAGTGCTTGTTAAGGTTGCTTTGCAACCTCAGACACAACCTGTCATCGAAGTCTTGAAAGCTGGCTCAAAAAGGCACAAAAGTAGCGCCCAGTGCCTGACATCGCATTTTCCAGGCAGTTTAAGACGTGGCATGTGTACGGCCCCTTAGTCTCCCAGCAGTGGGTCACATATTTAACACGTCATTAAAATGTCACACCCGTCCCATTCTGCTGGCTGTCCCTTTTACACAGACATCAATTCTGCACTGTTACTACCTCCGCTGCTGGCTTTCAGACAAGACAACTCTGTCCCACTATTCCGTGACCGTACCTTTTAGACAGAATGGCAAGGTGGAATAACTCCGCAACATCCCCACCTTGAACAGGCAGTGTTAAAGGGCCCCGTGTAACAATGGTGACACCAACTACCACAGCAGTCTTGAGAACTTGATGCTACAGACAGATTTTAGTCTGTAAAAAGTACTTGAGGTTTGGTACCCAGCCCTAATACTCTCTTAATATTCTGTTTCCTCTCACAGGAAGAAAAATGCTGCATGCTGGCCCTAAATCAGAGCTATAATGGCAGGATGGTCCTGGGAGAGAAGAGAGGGTCGAGCACTGAGGCAGCTGTAACCCAACACTTCTTACAAATGATCAGCAAATGTCCCTCACATCATCTCATCAGCCCCCCGCCCCTCACACGGTGTCAGAGCCATGAACTGGTCTTTAAGGGGAAACTAAAACCCTGTGTGCCCAGTTCCTGAACCAGCTCTCCAAATATTCTCAATGTCATGGATGTCAAAACAGGAAGAGAGCAACAAAATTTCCCCATAATAACTTCCTGATGCTGGTCCAAGTATTTAGACTGCATCACTGTTTCGCTGCTGCCAATCTGCACTCGTCCTCCACCATCTGCCCTCCGCCCAGTCCCTTCAACTACTTCTCTCCACTGACACACACACAGCCAAGTAAAGACATCTGCATCTCTGTACATTCATTAAAATTACATCATGGCAGAAACACACTCATCCCTAAATATCCTCTGCTGTAAAGACCTCACAGAACATACCACAGTATTATACTTCACCTTTTAGTAAAAACAACATGGCAAAAGTTCAAAAATTTCTTACATGAGAGCCTGAACATCGTGTGCCTGGAGGAGCTGCAGGCTGAGCTGTACCAACCTTTTCTCCCTGCAGGGCAGGTACCGAGTCCCGGAGGCTGTGAAAGCTGTCTTTGATGTGGTCCCTACGTTTGCGCTCCAGTGCATTGTGGTGTGCCCGTTTGTCTGCCTGCAATGAGAAGAGTCACAAGGCCTTAAGCCTGGCAGCAGAGCAGCGTGGGCAGACGACAGCGGGCATCCGTGGTCGACCTACACAAACGGCTCTGCTGCCTTTACAACAACACCCCCAGTGTAACCCCAACCAAAATATATACAGACATCTTTCTATCCATCACATCGGATCTGAACGACAAGTTAGCGTGAGATTTTTAGTAAGAAGCCAACATTTACTACATCAAAGCCCCAGTGATTATTTTCATTACTGATTTATCTGCCAACTATTTTCTTGATGAATTGCTCTGTAAAAAATACCTTTCACAAATTCCTCAAGCCCAAGGTGACATCTTTATAACTGCTTGTTTAGTCTGACCAACAGTCAGAACCCTACAGATTTTTTATTTACCATCACATAAGACCCGCTGATGAAGTGTGTATCGATTAATCAACTAACTATTCCAGCTACAGACAAAATACTGATCTAACCCTAATTTTTAAACGCTTATAATTCATCAAAAACCTTGACGTAATTATTCTTGGTTGCACGACATCTTTACTAAAGATAACAACAACTTCAGTATCAATCAAACCTCAGACAAACAACTGTCACATTCCGAGGACAGCTGTTATTTACATTAAAGCTTAAACTGAAGCCGACATCAAACCTTGACATACTAACACAAGTTCTTGTGTTGGTTGCTGATAAGGATGCTATTGTTTGGTGGCGACCTAGTGAAGTCGGTCACAGTCTGCTACACAACAAAAGGAAAGAAAATCCTGCAGTAAATATTTGTGTACTCTGGGCGAAGCCAGTGAGTAGATCAAATTGAAATACTAAAAGAAAACGAACACAAAAACTGCAATGTGGCAGCAGCAAAATTGACAAAATTCACATAGTTTACATACAGATTGCTGATGAATATATATATATATATTTATTTATTTATTTTTGGAGAATGTTACTCAATGTATCAAGGGGGTCACAGGACTAGACTGTAACAGCTGCCAGGTTGCCATTTTGAGAAATCAGCAACTACTTTTTGGATGATTTAGCAAATAAAATACAAAAAAACAGGGATAGCAAAAACAGAATGTGTAACCTGAAAAAAATGAAAGATATTGGATGCATTGGTGATATCTAAATATTGCCATTACAGTCAGGACTCGATAGTGTGTTGGTGCGTTTACTCGTGTGTGAAAAAGCAGCTGTTTTAGAGCCAAAGCAAATTACGTTGTTTGACTGAGGGTCGACACCTTCAACTAACCCGTCAACATCACAAACAAATGTACTTATAGATCAACTAACAAAGAACCAGATGAACCTGAGCTAGTAGATATGATAAGAAAAATATGATCAGATAAAACGCAAACTACCATTAAACTTAGATTAAAAGACTAGTCCCAATTTAAGTCCTTTTTCCTAGCCTGGTGTAGCTACAGATTTTGACAAATAAAGGTCTGTCTCAATTAGAGGCCTGGTCTGGTTGCCAAGCAGTTCATTTTTATAGAAGTTCTTTGGATGTATAAAAAAGGCTGTTGGCTACCCACTTGAGCTAATGTTAGCTGTTTAGATCGCACATACACAGTTTTAAAAGTTAGCTCGGTTCATTCTACTGCACCCATGAGTACCAGAGAAGACTGCAATTTATTCAGATTTACCGGTATGATGAAAGACAAGTGGTGACACTCTTCCTCTGAAGCTGTCATAAAGTCAGAATATGTGTCCATTCCTTGATTACCCGTTAAGTTATTTATATTCCTTTAGTCCACTGATCAAAAGAATCAAGTGTTTTTCGTAAAAACCAATCCAAGTTGTGAGTATTGTCTGAACAGGATAAAGTGACATTGTGTTGGTACGCCGGGTGCCGTAATCCTTGGGTGTGGTGAAGCGAGTGTCATAACACATATTTGATATATTATTTGAAGATTAACTTTTACACAAGCTATATTCATACTGGTTCACATGAACAAGTTGATTCTCTTTCCCATCTTTGCAGCACAATAGTTTTGGGTTAAAGGAATTAAAGGCCTGTCCCACATAGATGTCCCCCAGATATAAACTGCTGAGTTCAGTGATTTGAGCAAGTAATAGCCCGGGCTACTAATTGAAGTTTTACAGTACAAGGACTTTTGTTCGGTTATTTTAAGAAGCTTTAAAACATTCTTCATGCCATATTTTCATTATTAACTGCACAGTATTTTAATTGCTCAAAATCCAAGGTGACTAAAAATGACAATATATTTTCAGTTGTGGCAACCAAAAGTTGATGCCGTGGGTCAACAACTGAACCTGATCTACAAAATGTTCCATGTTACCAGAGACATCTTAAAATTGTTAAATTGTCAAAAAAAAAGTAGTCTTTTAAGATCGATTAAAGAAACTAAGGGAAATCCTTAAGTTAAAAAAACTGTTGTCAAATAATCTGTGTATCTCCAACAAGACTGCACAATCTCACACAACTGAAATCAGCATCAGCATGTTTACATGTACAGTTAAGTGGAGCTATGCCTAAAGCTCGACTAGGCCATTTAATTGGACTCCTGTCCTTGTCCCAGTACACAAGCATGGGAGGGGAATCCATTTATTGACAGAAGTATGTCCGACTCCACTCCAGCTTGTTAGTATTAACAAGTACTTTTTCCGGTTGACCTATTACATCACAGACCAAACAATCGCCATTCTGTGTTTTCCTCCCATCCATGTATTTTAAAATGTTTAACTCTTTCTGCTGACACATCATGAACTGCGTCGCCTCGTCTGTCCAAAAAAATGCACGGCTCAGAATGTAGATTTCGTCATGTTGTTACTGGCTTCTTGATGCTATGTAAATTCCAGGTCAAAGCCTGTGGTGGAAATTGTGGAGCACGCAAAAAGCGCCTAACCCAGTTTGGGTCCAACGGTATACATGTTTACAGGAATAATCGGACTCGAATAATTGGACTCCCAATCACATTACCTAAGTGTGTTAGTCCCATTTTGAGCAATTTGATTGCCACCCTGGTAGACATACATACAGATAATCAATAGTGAAATAGTCACCTGACTGATATATGGTAAAAAGGCTCAACAAACAGTGTTGAAAACAAATCTAAATGTTGCTCTCTAGAGGTTAGAGCATTCTGTGGTCTTTTTGTCTTTGGGCCTCCTCCTGAGCTTCCATCCCCCTCCTTCACTGTGACCCGAGCCGACCCCACCCTCAGTGCATTTCTGTCCCTCCTTCTCTGCAGGAGCACACAGGAGTGGCCCTTCAAATTCATGACCTGGGCCAAAGTCAAGGAACTCAAGTCATTCAGTTGGGGTGAGAGGTGGGCGGACACGAACATCTGATCCTGGATGAGGATTAAACCAACTGAATAAAACGGCACAATGACCGTCAAAGCCTTAGTTACGTGTAGATTTATGATGGTACTTCTGGGAGAGTTTGGTAGCTAAAGATTAAAGGGTTTATGCGCATAAGAATTTACTTGGATGATGTGCAGGGATTGTTGGTTTTCCTTCTGCATTGAGCCACATTTCTCACGTCTTTTGCCAAGTTAAATAACTGGCTTCATCACAAGAGCCCAGTCCTCATCTTAAACATTACCAGTAACACACACACAGGCTCGTTCAGCTGCACCTAACAGGCTCCAAATTTCAACCACATACTTGTTTTCTAATTACTGTGTTAAGGCATAAGATGGCTGCCATAATCACATGACCAGAGGCAGGCAGGAGATCAGTTTGCTGCCTGTGGTCCGACCTGTTTTAAGGCCAAACCATCGCAGCCTCCAATCACATCTGAGTCTGGCCTAATCCACGCTGTCACCAGGCTGGGACATTAAATCCAGCACCCAATCAAAGCTCACACAGCTCCACTGATCATCTCGCTTCATACTCTATTAAAGCAGGGCCTGATTTAAATATTAAGTCTGAAACAGCACGATGGTGTGGTCATGACATTGCCTCGGGCAGACGGGAGACAAGGTGGAAGTCACGCGAGCTGGTATCATCTGACTCATTTTGTCCATGACGGAGTAGCCACAAGTGAGACGACACGCAGGTTAAGACAAGCCTTCAGGGTGTCATATGTTGGGTGGGAGGAACAGTGTGTCAAGTGTGACTCAGTTACCAATATCTGCAACGAATACAAGCTAACGGCTAGCAACTTAATGCTACAAAACAGGAAATGACCCAACCTGCACTGTAAACTATCACCTTAAACGCCACACATATGAAACTGACACCGTAATAAACAACACTTCATCAAAATTCGCAGCATGTCCCTCACAACGCTCGCCTTGTGATTAGTCTGGCTGGCATGGTGACAGCTGCTCCTGCGGCCTGTTGCACAAGAGCCACAAACCATCCAGGAGAGACAAATCCACGAGGACTATGTGCCTCCTCCTCGTATCATACACAAAGCCCAGAGAGGCGAGACTCCACTCCCTTCATTAACCCTGGCACAAAAACATGACTGGTATTGAAGGCATGTGCAATTACAAGTCTGACAGCCATTGTGATTCTCACTGTTTCACTAATCGAAAGGAGGTTAACAAAGTACACATGGATGATTTCCTCCTTGTAACTAGGGCTGAAGACACCATATTATAATAGAAACCAGATTACACATCAGCCTTTGCTCCTAATTTAAAAGTAACAGGTTATGTTAACTTAACGTGAGTTTTTTTTATCCTGTGTCATGCTCACTGTATTTAAGTTTTTGTTTCTGCATTTTCAGATCCCATGTGAGACTGAATGTCTTTTGCTTTGTTTTTTGCCTTTAGCACTAAATTTTAACATTTTCAAGTTGCGTTGAGCACATTTGGTGACACACAATTTCCACTAAACACTTGAGGGCCCTGACACACCAAACCGACGGTCAGCGGTTGGTCAATGTCAGGCTGTCGGTGAGGATCTGTCGCTCTAGTTTTTGTGGTGTGTCCCGCATCGTTGGCACTAGTCGACCCTGGTCGGCTGTTTTTCAGTAGATTCAGCATATTGGATCGATGGAGCCTGTCGTTGAGTGAAATCAT